ATCAGTTCCTACTGCTAACGCTATTTCCTCGACTATCAAATTCGGGTGCATGCGGGCTGAGTTGGTTTCAGAAGCATCCGAGAATTATGAGCATACTTCACACCTTCCACCACGATCCTGTAAAGCATACGAGGGCAATGACGGATACATGGGTACCCGTGCTATTTGCGAATCATCTCATCCTTGAATTAATCAAAAGTAGCCCTTGAAAGAAACACCAAGCACAACAGCACTCCTCCAACTCCCACCGCTTTTCCCCCTCACAACATCAGTCAAAATCCCCCTACTACGTCTAGTGTTCCAAGCCGACCAGGGAGCCGGCGAGGCCCGATGGTGGGACTGCTAAGAGCTTTGGACGGGACGGGACGGCCATATGCAGACCGTCCTGGGCGGTGACAGTGGAGGACGGCCATCTTTAGGAAGAACATCGGGCCCCACAGGGTGAAACCGTGTGTACAAAGGACGGCGGACTGCTGGGGACTGCCGGGAACGACATATTATACCACAAATACCCTCAGACATGGTTGAAGCCCCATGGCCAGCACGGTCATTTTGTCCATAGGATTTCAGGTAGTTAGACGGCGGACCCCCGTAGTCCGCCCTAGCACTGCCAAAAGGATGGACAACCGGCTGTAGTCCGTCCCGTCCTCTCACCAAGACGGATGGACTGGACGGTTGGGAACACTGATTATGTCTACCCAGAGCAGAAGAACAGGCATCAAAACATTCACCGTATCTGGACTACTTAGACCGACCCAATTGGCTTCCATGGAAGTCGTGAAGGAGGTTTGGGATATGGTGGGAGAGGAGTACAGGGGCAACGTCGTCGTGATTGACGGGGCTGCTCTCGTTCTTCACTGCTACCAAATTTTCACCAGTAACACCGATCCCCCATCACCCCCCAATCGCGACACAGTTTTGAAACACTTGTGAAGCAGGAACCCCGCTTTCCCCAAAGCATATTCAGGTAACGGAGATTGCAATCACACCATAGATTTTGTATTGATATCGACTTTTTGGACAACACAGGAGAAACCAGATGCCTACACCCGGGTAGCAAGTATTCTTTCATTTCTGGCATACCAGTGGCTACCTTGCTGAACCTAGCCCTTGCAAAAGCTGGGGCCTGGGTCGACCGTGGGAATGGAGAATCTCTGTGGCCACAAGCGTGTGGTCGTGACAATGACGGAAAATAGTTCAGATTTCAAGTAGTTGAGTGAAATGAAGCGCAAAGCCCGATGCGATATAATGATAGAACTTCGGGGGAAGAGAAACAAGTGGGGGTTTCTCAGGGCGGTTAAGACCCTGTTGTAGTGGGTTGGAAATATCCACTGTAGAAGGAGAGTTGAATTAGGGGCGGTAATTGATGTCCATTCGACCCTTAGGTTATTATTGGAATACAACTTTTTTCTTTATTCAGTGAGGCTGAAGAGGATTGCTTCGGAAGCGTAGATTGGTGTTAATCATTGCTATCAATATACTACAACCCCATATCTTCTACAGCTAACCACCTAATATAGTCTCACAGTGCTTTCATGATAAATGGAACCTTCGGCCCCTAGGTTCCATGAAAAGTTGTAGGCGCTTGCGGTCACGGCTCGTCACTCGGCGAAATGAAACGCCAAGTGTTGTGATATCGCCGGGGTTGTTAGGAACTTCCTGATACCCACATGCCAGAAGCATTCTAGACGAATGTGAGGAGGTACAAGGAATGGTATGAATGGGAAAGAATGTAGCCGGTTGTTGGAATGAGGACAAGGAATGGTATGGATCGAAAGGAATGGGGTCACTTGGTAGACTCGGATATCTGGTCGGTTGGATTCTCTATAGTATATAGTGGTCATCTACTTCGGTGGTAGGAAGGAAGTTAATTAAGTCAAGAAAATACTTTACAATTCTTATTCACTCAATACGATTATATCCTTCCCCGCAGAAGTGCCCAATTTAATTCTCCTCTTTACTCCACCTAAAATCTCTTTTCTACTTCACCAAGCACTCAAGAAAGTAGGTTAAGAAAAAACTCTTCTTCGATACTCTGTCTCTGTCATCAACACCCTCTATTGCGCGCTACTCTTCTAACTACTAACCACAAAACTAACAGGTAAAACAGGAGTAGAGATCAAGCAAATCTCACTCCCCCGATCCCCCCAGGTAGGTGCTCACCCACCCCCACAAACAAACCAAAAACTGACTACCAAACAAACTAACCAAGATCAAACACCGAGTCTCCTTCCCTTTCCTGCCGCGCACACTCTCCTCCCGGCCGTCCCACTGCCCTGCGCTTTCCTTCCTTCCTCCGGGCCGTCTTCCTTCATGCTGCTTCCCTCTACAGGCGCACCCACGTGCAAGCGAACGAACGAAGGAATGAACGAACCACAAACGAGTAACGGGAAGGAAGGATGGAATGGTCGCAGGGGGAGGGTGTGCGGTGCCCAGCCTATGAGTCCGGCAGAGTATGCCAAGCAGAATTTCAACAAAAAGCTGTATATTTCTCCTCGCTCTCCATAATCCTCTTTATCTCTCTTGCTTGTCACCGCTACCGCCGGGTAAAGTATCCCGCCAATTGTTTGGTGTTTTTAACTTTCAAGAGAAGCTTTTCTTGCTGGAGGGGTGAGTCTATTGTTATGAGATGTTGGCTGCACAGACTAGAAGGTAAAGGGGGAAGAAATAAAGATGTCCTGCTAGTAGTTTTAGATACGAGTATCTTGTATCTTTTGTTGCTTATCCTTTTATCTAAGGAACAGGAAAGGACTTTATATAGGCAAATCAAGAGCACTCCCGATATAGTGTTCTATCCACCACAAGAAACAAACAATCACAAACACACTGTGCTACTCCGGCAGTGCCTCTGGTTGGTCCCGGACAATGCCGGAGTTTTAGTACCTTCGCTCAATGAGAAATACATGACTCAGGCTTATAGAGAAGAATAAACTGACAAAGGAGTGACAAATAGAAAATAACACAGGAGAGGTATTTATCTGTTGCCCGTGATCCAAGCACATGGAATGATCGCCGGTGATATTCAACATATCATTCGATCCTCACATCCCAATACTGGACAATGATAGCCATACAAATGCTATAAAATCAAGCATCGAAATTCAGGGCAGCCATTACTCCATACCAGTCCTCATTTACAGGACACTCATTCCTTGTTCAAGACTAAAACCCATGTGCTACTCATCCCCAGCCTAGGAATAAAACAAATAAGCCACTCTTTGCACATAACACATCTTGGACAAGAAATTCCCTGGTCAATGAGGAATCCACACGAGGCTAAACGTGATTGGCCACCACTTCCCAGAATCGTTTCTTGTTTACCTTTTTGATTTTCCTCTATTCCCTTTTCCGTTAAGACTCCATTTTCAATAGAGAAAAATCATTCCATCCTAGCAGTGGTGGTGTGGTATTGGGCCAAGTACTGTAGGGCATGGCCGAGCCAATCCAGGCTCAACAGTTGCGCCTCATAACTAATCCACATCAAAGCTCTCATCCCTAGTCTACATTTATACCTACCCTCTGCCATTATCTGTTCGATGGTTGAGCCGTAGACATCCTCCTATCCTAACCTATCTGTCATGGTGCGAAGTCTTCCTCGTCTCCGGCGCATTGTAGGTTCTTGCAAGATTGCTTCAATATTGAAGGAAGTGAGCAGAAACGTAAATATCTAAGTTAGCAGGTAATGCACGATTGGATTCTCAGCACCATGGCCACTGCCCACATTGCTGATAAACTTCCGGGAATCTTTTCTAGAATTTCTACCTCTAGGCTACAATCCGTTTTTAATGGGCGAACGGCCCAATTGCGAAACCTTGAAACGGCAACGATTTGTAAGGCTGCTAAAATGGAACTCCGCTCACCAGCAAAGGGGGATACATGCGTGGCGGAAAATGGATATGTAGGGTGAGCGGTGGAAGGATAGGGGGACGGTTTCATTGATATCTGCTTCTGTCTTTTGTTCTAAGTTAGTTAGGTAGTAGTTGGGCGAGCGATCGAAGAGTGAGAGGGGTATTCTACGGAGATCGAGAACTAAGCGAGAAAAGTTTCCCCACTTCCTGTGTCTTTTTGAAGGCTCCCATGCGAAAAAAAGAAATACACGCACCACAAAGAAGCCCACTGCCAGCAGTCTCCGCTCCGGGCAGTTCCTTTGACTTCCGGACAGTCTCCCCTCCGGGAAGCCCCTTTGACTACCGCTTGGGCGTCGGTTCCGCTCCGTGTAGTCTATTAAGCTCCCGCTATCGCTAGCTATCACTCGGTCAAAATAAAACGACAAGGGTTAACTCAATACCATCGCAGAACTTAGGGGCGGGAAAACTCAGCTTTCCTTCGCTATCTCTCAAGTAACTAATGGTAAAAACGTGAAGTATATATTACCAACGACAGCGACCTGCGATCCCCCACTGGTATGTTCCCCTTTGACGAGCAAACACAAGCTAACAAAGGGAAGACAAGGGGAAGACAAACTTCGTTGATTTACCTCCCCCCCGCCGGCCTTCCGCTCTGTTCCTCTTGCCTTTTTGCTTTCGTTCCATTCGGCGCACAGTTTTTCATCCAGCGGATTTCCACCACCGCTCACAGCTTTCCTTCCATCGGATGCACTGCCGCGGGACCCCGGAAAATTCCCGCTGAACCTCGCGCACAGCCAAACCGCGATCCCAGAAGCGCGTTCCCACAAACTATCATCCGTGCAAAGGACAGAAACAGCATCTTCAATGGCGTCAGACTCCGTCTCGATGTCGTGAATTACGGCACGGAAGGAATCAGCGATATCATCACTATTTAGTACCCATGTCAGGACTAATCTCTCAACACCACTGCAAGCACTATAAAACTTACATCAATGCGTAGCAAATCAAATCTGGTGAGAGAGCAACGTAATTACGGAGTCGACGAATCAGTTTCCTACCGTTGGGGCTATGCGGGGAAGGTGCAAAATGGAAACTCAACACCCCCTCCCGAATAACAATGGTGTAGACGTTTACGGGATCCAGAACGTCCGATCAGTTCTCATTTTGCACAAAAGAGCGGAAGCATCCAAAATAGTAGGACCTGCAAAGGCCAACTTTCTCGCGAGTCTCTAGAACCCAAATATGCTCAGATGCCAGAGGATCGATTGCAAAAGCCTTCATGAGCATAGCCAACTCTTCTGTAGTATGATCGCAGCAGCCCAACCACCAGACGCCTTACCACGGAAGAGCTGGTGGAGCGTCTCACCATCGCGTGGGAGGTCGCCAATCTCGGGAGCGTGGATCATGGCATCACCCTCAGATGAGAAAAAACCAAATTGGTCAGGATTGCTCACACGCCTATGACGGGGAGTGGTCGGCGTGTTCCAAAACTTGGCCTTCTCATTATTGGTGGGTGACGTGGAGGACATGGGAGCCTCTTTCCCAACATTGCTAGGAGCAGCGGACAAATCCTCTTTGGCCTTGATTTGGTCAAAGAGTCGGGACCCAATGAGATCCCCACAAGAGCTAACTTTCCCTCT